ATGTTAGGTCGCCAGTATCTAGAAGATACTAAAGCTAAAGACATCTCCAGAAATATTTAACGCTCGACAGAAATACGTAATTGATTTTTATCTTACAGGAAATCAGATTTTCTTATCTTACATAGATGTCTACTCGAAATCTGCGACGCTTGTCGAAGTAAAAAGTAGAGATTGGTTGGAAGCTAAAAGAGCCATACTAAAGATATTTAATGATATAGGAAAACACCAAGAAATCAAGGCAGATAAGGACTCAGCTTTTATGTGCATAGCACTCCAAAACTGGTTAAGATCTGAGGGCGTAAATATATGTCACCACCAGCAAGAACGGCGTATCCGACATAGAAAAATTTCATAAATGAGAATGAGAAATTAAGAATCATTGGTAGTGAACAAAACATAGAGGATAAGTGCACGAAATTCGAGTCAATCCTATATGTTTATAATCACAAGACATAATACTACCAAAAGATCACCGGCAGACATCTTCCTATATTCAGGAAACCCAGGCTTTAACACACAACAAAATAAAATCGACTGATCCAGGGAAGCAACATCGAAGTAAACCCGATTAGTGCTAGGAAAGGATATTTGGTTTTCCAAACAGGCACCATGGATATTCCGGTAAACTACAAATATCACTAAGTATAAATTTGACGAAGACCATGCAAACATTTGATAACTTGGTAGAAGAAGCAAAGGAATTCCCGAGTATCTTACAAATACAGTATTTAATTGATAAATTAAAGAGGGAAATCCATGGTTTAAGAATTAGACGAAACAGAAGAGGTCTTCTCAACGTAGTGGGAACAGATTATAAGTATTTATTCGGGACATTGGACCAAAATGACAAAGATGAGCTAGAAGAACGAATTAACGAATGACATTTTAAAGAGTCGGATTGACATAATTAATAAGCTCAAGGAAGATAAGGAAAAAGATCAGCATTTGGCTATTTTAATGTTCAATATACAACAATTCACGGAGTATATTGACGATGTAGAACTTGGCATGCAACTTACAAGACTAGGAATTTTCAACCCAAAATTGCTAAAACAAGATTACCTAAAACAAGTAAAATCCGATAAAATTTTAAAAATCAAAACCTTCACTTAGTTAAAAACAGATACAAATGAAATTTTGATTATTTCCCATATCCCGGATGAAATTACGAAAGTGCCAGTGTTTGAAATCATCCCATATCCCGACGAACATAAATACATCCTGACGGAACATACATTTAATAAGTTTTATATTTATGAAGATAAGATTTATAATAAACATACAGAACAAATCATATTTGACAAATTCATCATTGGTATAATAACAAGAAACTACCGAATGTAAGTAAACAAAAATGCAAAAGAACTTCCAAATAAATTACATAGAACCGAATATTTTAATCACATGGAACATACCACAAACTACTGTAAATCAAGATTGTACCAACAGTAAAGTTTCCATCATAGGCAATAATATGATTCAAATTAGGAATTGTACCATACAAATTGATTAATTTCCAACAGTTTTGCAGATTTCACACAGACCATTTATTTTAATAACAATGTCACCGAGATAGGACCACTGGTCTACTTAGAGACAAAAGAATTAATAAAAAACCATGTAAAATACTACACCACATTTCAAATTATCTGTCTCACCACATTTGTAATTACAATAGCCAGTTTAATCCTGTATTAAGTGTATAAGTTTAAAAATAATTGTAAAATACACTAAGCCCGAAGAACAACCGAACCAAATTGTTAATGAACCATTAGCTTCAGAAAACATCTTGATTTATCCAAATTTATCTGCCTGAGGACAGGCAACATTCAAAGATTGGGAGAGTGACATACCCATAGTCCCCTAGGCCTACTTATAAGTTTACATACAATAAGTCTACACACAACACACATTAGTGTAATGCACTGTAAACACTTATCACAATCACACTTGCCCAACACACCCTTTGCTTTAGAACTTTTAAAGTTTAACTCAATATTTAAAAGCTCGAGACCGAGGCTTGAACGCCAATCAATTCAGACTAATAACTACACGGTCGGTGTTCTTCAAATAATTATAAAAATCGTTTAAACATATATTCAGTTAAATAAAATTGTATTTTTAACCTATGAATTCAAGCATTTTATTATATAGATGTCAAGAAAATACCTTTTCAACAACGTTATATACCGTTTCCTTTGATATACTCGTTTATGAGGATGGAAATATAATTTTTTTCAGCTTTTTTCTTTCCAGTCTCAGAAATCTAAAATAACGATTTGATTCCCATCAAAAAACAGGGAAACAATCAGGCATGCTCTGGTTTTACCCTTTTTTTCGTTTTTGTTTTGTGATGTTTCATGTGATTTCGTTTTTAGCTGCAAACAATAATTTCATTTTCAAAAATCAAATCAAACTTACTCGTTTCCAAACCGAAAAAGCATGATACAATCATAGTAGGTAGTCTACTCGGAAAATTTCGGTCCCTCTACAATCATAGCAATGAGTGCGAGTGAGAGGGTCTCAATCTAGTAAGTGCGAGCGAAACGACATTAGGATGTATTGATTAACCCGTATGTGGTGTATGGGGCTTTAAGTTTCCTTTTAAAATAAAAAAGAGTTGAAATTTTTTTATAATTTAATTTTTAACAGTTTAGAGTTGGAAATGAGTCGTTGTTTTTGTTTTTGTGTTGACAGTCTTTTGTTCAAGTTCTTAATCCTAAAATAAATTCTAATCTTAAAATAAAATGTTTTTAAAAAGTCGAGTTCCGGAGTTATCTGTGGAACAGCATCTTCGTTCAAACGCCTCTTTTTTAAATTGATGCCCTCTATTTGGCGTCAATTTCCAGTGCATTTCTCGAAAATGCGTTTCACAAATTTTGGAGTAATCTCCTAGCTTGCACCCCAACGATTCCTCCCATACCGCTCGTTTTTCTAGACATTTTGGTGCCCTAATAAATTTCACGCCATCGACGTGAGTTTTGGCACACGTGGCAAAAAGTCATGTTGCACAAGGGTTAATTTGTAAAAAAAATCGTCCGTAGCCAACCTTTCAACACAAAAGCCGAACAAGCACTGAAGCAAAACCCGAGTGTTTTGACTGCCGAATAGACTACCTACTATGATTGTATCATGCGAAAAAGCACGTCAAAAAACGAATACGTTGGATTTTAATGAATGTGGAAACCGGAGCATGCCTGAATAACTAGTTTTTAAGCATTTTACCAACATGATTAGTTTTCTGAATGCACCAAAACTCCATATAAAAAAGAAGCGAAGAGAGGAAGAAAAACTTTCTGACTTTTAGCTTTTTCGGGGATAAGATAATTGAAATTTCCAAGCGAAATATATGTATTGATATCTTTCACAGCGAAATAAGGAGGGAAAATATAAGGGAAAAAAGTGATAGATTTTCTTCTCGCGAGAATAATAGTAATAATAATAATTGCATTTAAATTTTTGAAATCGACCGTTCCATTTCCCCAGAATCTTGTCAACCATGACCCTACCTTATTTTTCATGGTGGTATTTTTGCACACTGTATCTCGAAAATTGTATAATATTTCAACATAAAAAAATACTTTATACTTTCCTAATTACTGGCAAAAACTAATTAAATTGCAAAGTCAGTAGCGCTTTTCAGGATAATTTTCAAAAAACGACCGTCACATGGGTCAACCCCCTAAATAAGAGCTGTTAAGGCGGAAGCCTGTGATATGGGATTTAACCTACAAAGGGCATTTCAATTCTACTTTTAATAACAAATTAGGCAATTGGCACGGAGTTGCAAAAATACGGTAAGTAAATGATAATTAATCAATTTTATTACCAAAATCCAATTTATTTATAGTGAGGAATTGTAAAAATGCATGAAAATCACAGCGAGACAGCATGAGCAATTACCCAAAGATTGCCAAAACTGCGATGTTGCCGGCAAATGATGATATCGGCTTTAACTTTACGTCACTTATAATTATAATTGAATCAGTAAGAATCGATTTTTGGTCAAATGAAAAGAAAAACTAAGAGGAGATATACACTACTGGCCGACACATTAAAAATTTTTTGAAGATTTGTGATGATTTGCTGAAGAAACCCGGTCTAAGTATTTAGTACTGACTTGCCACTGACTTCTTGCTACAATTCGAAAAATAATAGCGAAAGTAGCGTAAAATATGGGTGGATATACTGGATATTAACCATCTAAGTCACGATGTGGCAATTTTTTAAAATACCTAGGCTGTTTCACCGCATCGGGCGATGGTCCCCTAGTGAAGATCGAAGGCATTATGAACGGCGAAATGTACAGGGACATCCTTATTAACAATTTATCTGGAGAATATGCCGATCATTGGCCTTTTGCCTGGATATTTCAACACGACAACGACCCGAAAGACACCAGCAAGATAGTCAAGTCGTGGCTTAGCCAAGAGACAATCAATGTTTTGCAATGGTCACCGCAGAGCCCCGACTTGAACCATATAGAGAACTTGTGGGGAATTCTTAAACAAGTCGTTGGCAAAAAAAAAACAGCAAATAAAAGCGATTTGAGGCGAATTTTGCAAGAAGAGTGAAGAAAATCACCCCTGAAAAGTGCGCACGTCTTGTGGGTTCAATGCCAAAGCGTTGCTCCGCTGTTCTTAAGCAGAAAGGTCATCCCACTCAATATTAAAGTAAATTGATTAAAATTATAAGGAATATTGGGCAAATTTTAACTTTTTCAACCATTTTCTTTCAGGTGGCTTAAGTATGTGAGCAGGACATTTTGGAGATGGTCTCAGATTTTTTAAGTTTTTCGTTGAATATATATTTTTATAACCTGGTTATTCTTCTATTAGAACACTGATAAATGGAACTAATGTGACACAAATAATTGGAACTGTGAAATAAAAACTTTTCTTAATTTTCGTTTAAATTCTTAAATTCGGCATGCCGAAATTAGCTTCTTTTTTTTTCAAATAAGTCAGTGTGCAACACGATTAAGGGATGCAGCGACCTACCTGAACCCTGTGTAGCGCCTTGTCCAGACCACTGATGTGAAGTTCTTGCGGCTTCAAGTCGGTTACTCGCAAAGATTCGGGTGTCACTTTAATACCCGGTACTAATTTTAATGCCATTGTGTCCGAAATCCCACTGGGCATGGCCGCCTGTTGAGGAGGGAGACAGTGTGTAAATATAGTGGTTTTTAAGAAAAAATGGAAGAGGACCCACCTCTATCTCCAGGCGGACTTCGTTTGTCTTAACAATGGCCAACAACTCGGTGAATGAGGAAAGCAGCTTCAGTTTACACGAATACTGACCGGCGACAACATCAAACGCAGCCTCCACTTTATAAAGCTTCAGTAATTGGCGGCCAAGAACTTCTTTGCCAATAAGGCGGCAATTAAACACATCGACGGGCACCTTTTCCAGTTGGTTTGCGCACTTGGACGCATTCTGGGCGAACTATCAATAAAAACAACAGACTTTAGGACGGACCAAGGGTACAGCAGCCTTTCAAATCGGACTTACCAAGTTGCTGTATTTGTCGGACTGTATATGGTTACGAAGAACCAGCTGTCCCCGGTACTCTGGTCCGCTAAATATATCAAACGACTTGGCAAACAGGATCTACAAAATATTTGGGTAAAGTGGTGATCAACGGTCAGGGTTAAGAGCAGGGGCTCACCGCGTCAGATTCACGAATTTCCATGTCGTATTTCAGGAATCCCCCGTGATTGGCCTCTTCTCCGCTGGTAATGATAACTTTCTCGCCTAGCTTGTGTCGGTGGCTTAGCACGCGGGCAATACCTGTCACAGGGGTACAAAAACAAATTATTAGGTGACGAATTTTCATCTGCTAATTTATAAAGCGACATTTTTCATCTCGGCATTGTTGATTGGAAATTGAAGAACATGTGGTTAGACTGAGCATAAAAATAAACTGAGCATTGACAAAGGATTGTCAAGTTTTCATTTCTGTCAGGTGGCAGGTTGTTCTAAACCTTATTTAGAATGTCTCCCCAAGGACTTATAAAACTTATAGAAATGCTCGGCAGTTGCAAAGTGCAGAATGCCCAAAATGAAATATGTATGGTATTTGGAGAGTGACAACGCTTGGTTAGATCGACTTTTCTGGATACATTTTTCACTAACATAAGCGCTTACCTGAGTGTTTATCAATCGTCACAATTTGTTCATGGGAACTGCTCCAAATCGATGAAAACGTCAGTGGTGAATCGAAGCAAATTATGTCTCCCACCGAGAAAATGGTCTAATGGTAGTTGGATGTGACGTGATCCATTCATTGAGTTGTTGAAGACCGAGATAAAAACAAGAAAATAGTCTTAGTCTTTTAGGTATAGCACGACCCACTTACCTTGGTTGGGTATATTTGCTCTGACTCGACCACTGCCAGCTTGATATAGTCCTCTGCATACTTTACTCCAGTCGGATCCCTTAGTCGAATGGCAAGGACATTGTTTGTTTCCCGCTGCAGGTTTAGCTATATGGAGGGTTTGATAAACGTTAGTTTCTCATTCTTTACTGATGACTTGCTAATTAACTTTCCCCTTACAAAGCCAATGCAATTCCCATTAACTATTGCAAACCCCTATTTCTCACAAACAATATTTTCCCCTCGCCCATACTGATAGTTATAGGTTGAGCAGTCGTGAATTGCGAGAAGAAAAGCCTGCCAACTTGTCAAAATACCTACAAGAGGGGCCTGGACCAAGGACTTTGCATGCAATCTTTTGCTACCGGGCATAAATATAAAGACAACTCAAAATTTGTAAATGATAAGGACTGGACGCTTACAGCAATTGTCAGGTTATTGCCGATCTGGGCATCGACCACATCCTTGGTGGCAAGATCATAGCGCAAGCCATTGCCATTATCCTCCACATTGTAGGAGAACTCGTTGCCTAGATTGTCGTGCAGTGATACCTTAAACATGAAATTCATGCCTCGCGGAATGTAGTGCATAGCCTTCTTGAACTTTATGTGAGGCATAAGCGTCACCAAAATATATTGAACATTTTTGACTTCGATACCGATGGGCAGCGTTTGATCCACCGTTTTGGCCTAGACAAAATAGAATTTAATTAAATAATCCAATCCTCTTTAATCATCGCGCGCACTCACAATAATCAGATCCCGACCAAGGGTGTCCTTTGTGTGCACAACGCCATCCCGCGTTACGCTGACAATGCCGCTGCTTTGGCCGTCCAGCTTAAAGACCGCATCCTCCATATTCGATTTCAGCTGAAGCGTGCTTCTCGGCGCTGCCAAAATGGAATCCATTTTGATAGGTTTTGGAGCGACCAGATCCAATGTCTTGAAAACTGTGAAAACACGTTCAATTGTCACTCGCATTGTCCTGTTGGGTGTTAGTGGCCCGACTGAGGGTGCCTTACTTACCGAAAAGCTCCACGCTAGCTGCCGGCAGTTTGGTCCCGTCCGCCAAACTCATTGTCGCCGTGATTGTGACCTTGCCAGGACTTAACGCGCGTACTCGAATAGATATTAAATCCTCACTTTGGTACTCGATTCCTGAAATTGGAGTGGTATTAATAATAACTTTAATGATGCCATTCAGAGTTCAGCATAAACATAAACCTTATTTTGCAAATCAATACATTTAGTTCAAGTGAAACAAGAAAGGAAGCTAACTTCGGCACGCCGAAGTTTGTATACCCTTGCAGATAGCAATTGGATCATTGAAAAACAACGAAAATATAATTTTTTTCTATTAATTTCCCGATCATTCCTATGGAAGCTATAAGATATAGTCGTCCGCTTTTCATGAAAGTTGAAAAATAATATAAAATGGCCATATTTCAAAAATGGAGCAAAAATGTTGATAAACAACCAAGCTATAAAATTTTGTCGAGGGACTAGTTTGCATAGACGGACATGGCTAGATCGACTCGGCTGTTGATGATGATCAAGAATATATATATTATTGGGTCGGAAAGGTCTCCTTCACTTGCGACGCAGTGAACTTCTGACTGAAATTATAGGCATTGTTTTTCTATATTATAGCGATATTCACATTTTTTTTGTTTTTTAAATAATTAACTTTTTATTAGACTAGTGCACCGTTATCTAAATATTTGGCAACTAAACCTTATTCGAAGTAAATGGAGGAGTATTAAGTTAAGTTATGTTTACATAATTTGAAATGCTTCTCATGTTTTGGTGGTAATATTTAAATTAAACAAATTTTATTTAAGTATATTGATCAATTTCCAACTAAATGAAAATAATTTTCTTCTTGTATATCATGTATATCACTCCACAAATTTTCAAAAATTAAAAAACTAAAAAAACGGCTTCCTTTCCCTGAACAAAATTATTGTCACACTTGGCAAATAGTGAGTTAACTTGATCGATCTGTTAACTTTTTCCTTCTGGAAAGCCTTGTTATTTTTATTTAGAATATGCTTTTTGATCAAATTTTAACTTAAAATCGTCAAAGTGCCTATTTTCTAAGCCAAAGTAGCTCGTTTTACCAAAATGAGCAGCAAACTAAAGTAAATTACCAAATCTCAACGGAAAATAATCATATACAAGAATAAATTTAAGTTCATTTAGTTGGAAATTGATAAATACATTTAAATAAAATTTGTTTCATTGAAATGTCGCTATATTTAATGGAGCAAACCCGTGGCAAAGTCAGACATGCCAACTGTGCCAATAATTAAGTTCGTCACTGTACTTTATGCGGGACTCTGGTAAATATATCTTCGGTTGGGATTCATTCATAAATCCCTTATTCCCAGCGAGTACTAAATACTGGTTGTAATAACTTTGTATGTTCCGTATCTGTTCCTGCTATAAAACTCAACCAAGCAGGCTCATCAAAGAACATTATGCGTTTGATATTCGTGCACTTGGTGGGCACAAAGAATTTTTCTGAACTCTCTGCGTCGTATCTGTGCACGTTTAGATATCTACTAGACCACATGCAAGTTGGCTCACCTGCTGCAGTGAAGACGTTGAATGTCTCTACTATTTCCGGATGGCTTACAGTCCAGTAAATTTTCGTATTCTTCAGCGTTCCCAGCACCATAGGAGACAGATCGGGAAGGCCCCAGAGTGTGGCGGGCATTACGGCGCCGCTGCGGATACGCACCAGCGGAGTGCGGATCTGGACTAATTTCAGAGCAACCACGCGGAGTTCAACAGTGTCCTGGGAGACCACCTCGTCCTTTCCGGTTACTGGGTTTCTTAGCATACACTTTCCGACAATCCTGCTGGCTCCCAGTCGGTGGGCCGTCACAATGGCCGAGTTAATGGCTGCGAACAAGATTCAATGAGGACTTACTGTCTGGTTTAGCGATGCACGGGAATCGGGACTTACTTGCTATTTGCTCCTTCTCCACGATGTAGACCATGTTGGTGTTGGGCTGCGGCCCGCCCTGGTAGAAGATCTGGATGCTGCTGCCCACAACCAGTGTAGAGTCGCGCGGAAAGAGTCGTATCGGTGCAAAAACCTGAACGTTAAGCGGCTCGCTGGACACCTGCAGAGCCCCTTTGCCGGACTGAAAGACAACCTTGGTCTCCCCAACGCTGTTGCCTACTAAAGTATAGCGGATCTCGCCGGGTCCCAGGTTTTCTTGGTCGCCCAACCGAACGCTCAGCACACTCTGGTCGAAAACAACTTCAGATAGATCGTAATCAGCCAGTCTGTTGTGGTCGATGAGCAGGAGATTATCGTTGGTGTCTACGAGTCGAACGATCCCGTCAATGCGAGCCGTGCGCTCCAGTCGGTCCATGCTGGCAACATGGATGGCCCCTATGCCTACCACGGAAATGGACAGGTGGCTCGGTTCTGTTGTCAAGCAGCTGTCGATTAGTTCAAGGTGGACGTGGCCAAGACGCAAGGGAGTCAGGGCCAGTACGCGCGCCTTTTCATTGAACTCCACCTGCACGATTCCCGATTCAGATAATTTCAGTTGCAAGTAACCGCTGCCCTGGACGATGGGTATGCGTTCGACGTGGCCTGGAGCTAGAAAGATACTGACGTGGTCCTTCGGCAGCAAGGTGCTGTTCACGGTGTGGAACCTGACCTCGTTCTCGATTAGAGGAGTGTTCACCGATCCCGTTTTGGACTGTAATTTATAGATTAGAAGGGATAATGGTAATTGTTTTACAAAAATTTTTCATTACGTACGTTATACACTCCGAACGCGGGATTCTCCGCTTGGATATCCTGCAGCCTTAGCAGCTTGTCGTTATAACTGGCAACAGTGCCTTTGATGCGGAAGTTGGGCGCCACCTCACTGAGCGTTAAGATGAGAACGTCACGACTGAGCAGACTTACACCGTGGAGGACTTCCAACTCAGCGATTTGGCGGTGGGAAATTTTATGGTCAGGATAACGCTCTTCTCCTGCGCCGAATTCCCAGTCTAGCCACAGAGAGCTGATGTTCATGAGTCTACGATTTGCCGCGTCCTGAACCTCTATCTCGATTTCGAACTTGTTTTCTCGGTCCTTCAGATACAGCAGCGAGGAGCTCTGCTCCAGGGGACACGATTCACGGAGCTGTTGTCGGGCGTAAAGCTTCAAAAACCGCGGAGGAACGCAGTGAACCTTAATAGTCAACTCCGATCGGTAGGCGAAAAAGCTGGGCTTGGCCAGGCTGTTATGCACACGGTAAGAAAAGTTTGTTTCTCCAAGCTCGCGGCACAGCACGGTGAAAGCGCTGATTGCGTTCTGGGTGTTAAACTGGATTTCAGACACCTGTACGATCTTTCTATCGAACGCCGTGGCCTTCACGATCTCTGCCTCCAATGTAAAGATTCGCTGTGGTCCGTTAGCAAAAATAATGTTACGGGAAGAGCCCACGGGGAGCACTACCTCGTTTTCGTGCGGATTCAGTATACTCATTGGCTCAAATACGTAAAGGTCGACTGTGTCGTCCAGAACTGTGTCTTGAAATCTGTACCACACTCGCACAGTAGAACTGCCAATGGCGGTAGCTCGCAGCCGCAACACATGACATGCATCTTGGACGGGCTCTACGTGGTCCCCGTTACTCTCTTGCTGCAGAATATGGTGGCTGAAGTCCAGCTGGAAGTTAAGGTTGTCGCAGCTCGTGTACGGCACGTCGGAGTTGTTCACCCGCGCAAAAACTGCCACGTGGAGGTAAACATAGTCCTTAAGAGAGGTCTCAAAGTTGTAGCGCTTTATCTGGAGCCGTTTGGGGGGCAGGAAGAAGACTTTTGCCAGGCGAGATATCTTTGGGTTCTTAGCCAGGGCCACTTTGACTGTGGTATGGGCGGCCATAGTATTACCATCCTCGAACAGCTCCTGCGACCCGAAGAGAGGGCGTACGTCACGGATGTCAGTAGTGGCCAAGCCCTGACCATCGATATGCAGCACCTGCGGGTGACCGGAGAACCACACGTAATTGCTGTCGCCTCCAGTAGCGTGGAACTGTAGGCTTATGGGCTTTACGCCATTAGGATCGTAAGGCAGCACTGCATTAGATGGCCTTAGCTGGAGTTCCTTAAAGATCTGAAGCTCGGCTTGCACAGTTAGCTGTAAAAACAAAAAATAAAAAGTATGTTCGTTTTATATTGTACGCAGTCATATACCCTCATCAACATATATCGCTAAAAAAATCCGATTCGATGTATATTCGTTGATTTTTACTATAAATTGTGTTAATTTTTTGTTATTATAAAACGTTTTTAATTCTGATTTCATATCAAACAAAAACTCTTTCAAACAAAAAAGGGAAATTCGTTAAAAATTGCCATAATTCAGAATATATTGAACTATAATGCCTAAGCTAAAAATGTAACATAAAATATTTAAATGTTGTTATTATTATTTCATTTAATAAGCTAACTTAAGCCACAACAAATATTTGAAAAGCTTTAAAACACAGAACAAAGGGATCAAGGAATTATGTACAATGGTTTACGAAGAGTTTCTTTACGCTTTCAATTCGTTGTGTTCCTTTTTAGAAATACAAACTACCTATTACCTGCATTTTAAACTTCTAACTAAAATTAAAATAGTATCACACTTACGTCCTTGTATGAACCATACACCTGGGTGACACCCTCCTTCTTGGCCAGTCCGGAAAGGCGGCTTCCATTGCGCGTACGCAGTGTGATGGAGAACAGGGACTCATCTAGTTCGGAACTGATAGAGTAGCGAGTGCCCAGCGTTATCTTCTGTCCGTCAGCGGCAAACAAGTCCAAGGCTATGTCGTGATGCTCTCCTTGCACAGTGACCCAATTAAGGTGGGGAAGTAGACTGATTCCCAATCTATGTGGTTCAGCGACAGTCAGTAGAGCACTGGGAGCTTTGGTAGCTTGGTCTGTATTTGCCATGTTGCGATCTCGCAAGAAGACTTGGGTGCGGCCCATCGCCGATCCCGTGGCACTGTTGCCATCCAAGTACGCCACCTTAGCATTCTCTACCTCCAAGTAGTACTGTTTGCTGTCGATTGCGTGCAGTCGGTCCATTTTCAGTTGCAAGATTCGGAAAGTAACTGAATCACCTGCCATGATGGTCGCCTCAGATGGTTCTATAATAATGTTGGCCAACACGCTGATCTGGACCTCGATGGGCTGCACGTGGCTGTACTCCGATTGGGGCATGCCAATGGTTACCTTGGCGGTGCCCGTATTGATCCCTTCCAACAAGACCATGTAGCCCTTGGTGCCTTTAGCCTCAAAGTCCTTCAAGGCAGGTGGCACAGTGTGGTAAGGACTGTTTGTGAAGGATAAGTAGCGCATTGCGGCGGGTTTGTTAGTACTAGATTCCGAAATTTTCCAGTCAAACTCAATGCCTTCCAGTGTGAAAAACTCGTTGCCTTGATCGTCAAAGGCATGCACCTCGAACATAGCGGGTGCTTCCTCCAGGTACAACTGCCGAGTAGCTGTGCGCACGTTCAGTCTGGCAATCGCGTCCACAATTACTTCAGAACGCAGCGTCTCTCCCGTCTGAACCTCTTCGGCGAAGATAATTGCAGTGTTCCGGCGCCGGTCGTGGGTGCGGACTGTTATCACTGCCTGTGATGCACACTCGCTAAAGCCATGATAAACCGGCATCACAGAAATCAGGTCCTGGCGCGAAGACGTCCTACGACAGATAAGAGGGAATTTTAAAAATGCGAGCAGGAGTTAAAGCCAACATACTTACCATTTATAGCAGTTAGTCTCGTCAACTTCCAAGGTAAAGTTGATTGCCTTCTCTTCAAAGACAGGCAGCAAGACCCGAGGGTGGTTAATCCTCGCTGCATTTTCGCCTCGGTTGGTCGCAAAATACAATAAAATCAAACATAGAACTCTAGCACCCATTTCGAGGGAAAACGATGCACGCTGCTAGTGATGAGTACAAGTTCGATAACAAAAACCGGCTAGAGATGGGGGACGGTCAATGTCACTATCGATAGATGCACTGTATAGGAATGCGATAATAAGGGTATTCCCATCGGCTTATCCCCTATTCACACTGTCCAGCAATAATTTATACAGCGACTCTGCGTTCAGTTATAATATTAGTTTATTAGGGGATTCCTTATACGACTGAATTACTTAAAACTTCGCGGTCGTTAATTCTGTCTTCCCACACAGTGCATTTGTGAGGAACGGTTGGGATTTTTAAAAAAAGTGAAACTCGTGTTCCCACGGAGCTGCGTTAAAGCGCATCCGCATCCGAACAGATGATCGATCAGCTGTGGCTCATGAAAAAGTAGACAAAGACTGTCGAATTGGCAGTTGCACATTTGAAATGGAGCATTTACCAACAATTTTGGCTGTTGTACAACAGCAAAAGGCACAGATTGCGTCAGAATTTATCCGCACTAAATTTAAATGAATTAAATGACAAGGAATTTTAGTTTTTCTAATGATTTTTCTCTAACAAAATCTTTAAAATAAGGTAGAGGCAGACGGTTTATATTAATTAGTAACAATTGGGGACATATTGGGGCAAGAATATACAGAAAAACACCAACAACTATTTTGGGCATGTTTGTAGCTTTGGCGCCACATATTAAATTTCATTTTTCACTGTTAATACTGGCATGACACTGCCGCATTAATTAGAGACTTCATTAAAGATTTGACCGCGCTATAGCGCTTTGCACAAGTGCGAGCAAGATGACTATATGGCGCTCTAATACATTAGAATAATGCATTAGCTACTTCATTGCCGCGATAATCGATAGATCTACATAAAATATACTAGATACTCGATAACAAAATACGGGTTTAATGAAGAAAATTGTAATTGAAAAATGTATTAGCCAGCTCATTGACAGTATGGTCTCACAATGAGAATTTTATTTTTATATAATTTCGCTGGTTTTTTGAACTGAAAAAATATTAGAAAATTAGGAAAAATAATATGTTTTGCGAGGGCAAGGTTCTTACGCTGTAAAATTAATTTAAAAATTTTTTTTGGTAATAATTAAAAAAAATTTAAGCATTATAGGTTAAAAACATAAATTTAAAGGATTCTGCATTTATTTATGCAAGAATACTTCGACAAGGAATTCAGAAATTCATAGTAATACGCCTCGAATGGCGGCCGTTTTTTTTTTGTTTACCTTTTACGGTCGGTGTGACCGTAGTCGTATTACCAAAATAATCCAAGCAAAATTCAAGCCAAATTACACAAAATTACACATATAGTGGTCTCTTTCAAGGTTCTAATGAAGTAGCTAATTAATGAAAACTGCATTAGTGTATCATATGGGTATAATTAATGCGGCAGTGTCATGCCAGTATAATTAAAAGCTCTAAGCTTTGTTTATTTTAAAGTGTACATTAATCTTATCTGGTTTGTCGGGGACTAGTGATTAGGGGTAATGCCGGTTCAGAATAAAAACCTAGAGATTAGTTAACACACATCGCCAAGCCACACCACCTCCAAAATGAAAAACTCCGGGTAAGTTTAAGGGCAAGATTCTAGGCCATTTATCCCCCAATCATTTTGTCTTCCATAGAAAATTGAAGGGAAAAACTTTATTCATCACGGGCGCATCTCGGGGAATCGGTAAAGCTATTGCCCTGAAAGCGGCCGCCGATGGAGCCAACATAGTCATCGCAGCCAAAACAGCGGAGCCCCATCCAAAGCTTCCCGGCACAATATATACTGCCGCGAAGGAAAGTATGTGCGACCAGTCCCCCAAGCAAGTGGAGTTTGACCTTTGTACACTTTATATTATGTCCAGTCGAACGTGCTGGAGGTCAGGCGCTGCCCTGCATTGTGGACGTGCGAGACGAGCGGCAGGTGCAACAGGCCGTGGAAGCTGCTGTGACCAAGTTCGGGGGCATTGACATAGTGGTGAACAATGCCAGTGCCATTTCACTCACTGGCACACTCGACACTGATATGAAGCGTTACGACCTGATGCAGAACATCAACGCCAGGGGAACTTTTCTTGTGTGAGTGCGGAAACTGACGCTTTATCTGTCTTTCCATTTAACCGCATGGGATCAAACTCTACAGATCAAAGACCTGCCTGCCGTATCTGCTCCGAAGTCAAAATCCACACATACTGAACCTTGCGCCACCACTGAACTTGAATGCGCGGTGGTTCGCCAATCACACAGCCTACACCATTGCCAAGTACGGAATGTCGATGTGTGTGCTGGGAATGGCAGAAGAATTCCGTGGCCAGGGCGTAGCCGTAAACGCACTCTGGCCTCGCACTACTATCCACACGGCAGCCGTGGAAATGCTTAGAGGGTCCGAAGGAGCACTGTACTCGCGAAAGCCCGAGATAATGGCCGATGCAGCCTATGCTATATTTTGTCGCGACTCCAGAGACTATACAGGGAACTTTTTTCTGGACGACGAAGTGCTACTAGACGCAGGTGTTAAGGATCTTTCCAAATACGCCTGCTATCCAGAGAACATACACCTGCTGGCTACAGATGTTTTTCTAGATGATACAGGTCCTGTCGCTAAGTTGTAAAATTAATCAACTATAGATTTTTATAATAATGGTGTGGAAACCACGTATTTACAACATTAAAGAATGTACATAAAAACTGTTGGTTAGCACTATAATTGGTGCTAAGATCGACTTTGGACAATTGTTCGTTTTCAAGATAATTACAAAATGGTAAGGCGCAATGTCTGTCTCACTTTTTATGTTGTTTTTTAGTGTTTAGGTAAATACATATAAGCATTTTATTTCTACATTCCTCGAGTGATGTTAGAAAGCAAAAGTCAAAGCAAAATGCCTCTGTTTTAGAAGTTGTTATCGAAACCAAACATGACCTCTTTTGTGATTTTTTCTCCAAAATTATAAACAATCGCGTTTTCTCGAATTCTCAGTTGAATATTTTGGAAAACATATGTTTTAGAATATGCTAGATTCTATTAATGTTGATCATTTGGAACACTTTTTAATATGATTATATTGAAAACAAAGGTTTTAGAGATGTTTTACTGTTTTGGCTACGGTTATATGTAAACAATATATTTTAAAGATATGCACCGAACGCTGAAATAGTGTCAATATTTTCAGGGACTTCGGAGTCGCTGAATGATTGAAAATATTTTATAAATACCGACAATGTATTACGACTTTTGTATTAAATTATTAAATCCCAAATTATTTTAAACTATTGGACCTTTCATTTTGCAGTCAAAAAATTTAATTTATACGTTTTTTTAAAAAACAGTTTTTATGGGGCAGCTATTTTCAGTAATTCAGTCGTCAAGCGAATACCCTGGATAATTTAAGAAATCCCGTCGCATATGGAATCCCCTAGATGAATAGACGATAAGGATGCCAGATTTTTAAATTAGACTCAAGTTCGTCGGGTGGCAACTCTGGTATTAGGTCGCCATCAGCTGATTTCATCCGTAATCCGCTCAAAAATAACAACGAATTGCTTGATATGATATTACTAAGCCGGAGCGCAACAAGTGCATTCCTTTTGGGCAGGCAACAATTGTGGGGCCACCGATGCGCCTCCGCATGGACGCCTTTGGCGACAGCTTTCAATGCGCCGCCTAGCCGGCGGATCAACTTCACACGAGACGATGTCGTGAGTGCCGCAATCGTAAAGAAACCCCCGGTGAAGAACAGAAGATGGTAGCCCGTTTTCGTTTCAGGGATTATTCGGCATGCCGGAACTACGAAGCTGTGAGGGCTTTTACCTGATGAGAGACAACGTGGAGACGCGGACACAGGAGCTCATCCTAGAAGCCACCTCCGACCAGCGCAGTCGCAAGATGGTCGATATCTTTGACGAACTGTCAGACTCGCTGTGTAAGGTGGCGGACCTGGCCGAGTTTGTGCGGATAGCTCACCCGAAGGGCAAGTATTCTCAGGCGGCGGAGCAGGCCTGTATTAGCATCTGCGGTGTAGTGGAGAGTCTGAACACACATCGCTCCCTCTATCAGGCCCTCAACCATGTGGTCAAGTATGGAGACAAGCTGCCCTCCAGTGAGGTGGACCGCCACGTAGCTAGCCTCTTCTTGTTCGACTTCGAGCAGTGCGGCATCCACCTGCCTGAGAATGAGCGCCTGAGGGTTGTGCGCCTCAACGACTACATCCTTCAGCTAGGTCAGAAATTTATGAACGGAGCAGCGCAGCCCAGCGTTATTCCCAGGACACAGGTGCCGGAGGCCATCCGCAACTAGTAAGTTCTTGCATCTTTCATACAGGGGAAGAATGTAATGTGAATATCACATATATTCCTAAGATAGTGTTTTCTAAAATAGAAGCTAATTACACAACTCTTTTTAGTTTTCCCACATCGGGCGACAACGTGATCATCACGGGACTGTGCACTAACGCGGAAAACGAGCAGATGCGGGAAGCTGCCTACCGGCTGTACTTGCAGCCATCCGAGAGTCAGGAGGAGCTTTTGCGGGATCTTCTGCTTTGCCGTCATGAGCTGGCTCGCAGCTGTGGATTCGAGACCTACGCCCATCGGGCCCTCAATGGCAGTACCATGGAGACACCAGAGGTGGTCCGAAAGTTTATTGACGAACTCTCCGAGAAACTGCGTTCTCGGGCCCAAGCCGACTTTGCCATTATGACCCAGATGAAACGCCGAGAGGGCGGGCAACAGAGCGCTCTGGCAGAGATCTGGGACACCCCATACTTCACCACCCAGCTGAGGCGACAATCGCTTGAAGAACAGGCCAATGAGTTTCTGCCTTACTTCTCACTGGGTGGCTGCATGGAGGGGCTGGACAATCTTTTGAATGCGCTATACGGTGTCCGTCTTGAAAACACAGATATGGAACCAGGGGAGTCCTGGCACAGCGATATCTACAAGCTGTCTGTGATACACGAAAGCGAAGGACTGCTCGGCTATATATACTGCGATTTCTTCGAGCGCGCTGGCAAGCCCAACCAAGACTGCCATTTCACTATCCAAGGCGGCAAACGGCTGCCCGATGGATCCTACCAGATGCCCATAGTAGTGGTTATGCTAGGACTGGCGCAGCCTCGCTGGAGTGGGCCCACGCTGCTTTCGCCAGCCAGAGTGGACAACCTGTTCCACGAGATGGGTCATGCTATGCATTCAATGTTGGCGCGCACCGAGCATCAGCATGTTACCGGAACGCGCTGCTCCACGGACTTTGCCGAGGTTCCAAGTGTGCTCATGGAATACTTCGCTGGCGACCCCAGAGTTTTGCGCACTTTCGCTCGTCATTTCCAGACGCATGAGCCCATTTCCGAAGACATGCTGAAGAGGCTGTGCGCCTCAAAGCACCTGTTCGCCGCCAGCGAAACGCAGCTGCAGGTATTTTACTCCGCTTTGGACCAGGAGTACCACGGAGCGGCGGCTCAACAGGGCGTGAGCACCACAGAGACGTTAAAATCAGTGCAGAGCCAATACTATGGTCTGCCTTACGTGGAGAACACTGCCTGGCAACTGCGCTTCTCTCACCTAGTCGGATATGGAGCCAAATATTACGCGTACCTCGTATCGAAGACGATCGCCTCCTGGATATGGCAGACGTACTTTGAATCAAACCCGTTTAACCGTCAGTCTGGCGAAAAGTACCGGGCTGAGATACTAGCCCACGGAGGAGCCGTGCCCAGTCGAAAGCTGGTGGCCAACTTCTTGCAGCGAGAAATGACTCCAAGCGTGCTGGCTGACAGCCTTATAACTGAGATCGATACTGACGAGTCCAAGATCAAGGATCTGATGGTCAGCAGAATCTAACTCCATCCGCTCTACACAACATTTAATTTGTATTTATGCACATACATACATACTATGTGTGTATGTTCATTCTTCGTTCATTATACTTAAATTACTTTAACATTTTTATTTGTACGAAACGAACTCAATTTGGTTTAAATGACTAGGCTGGTCCCAGCGCTGGCATCAGTTCCACGCCTACGAACTCTTTGGCCAATCGAACTCCCAGGAAGAAGAGGCCATAGCTCTTAACAAGCATCCTATGGAGAAAACGAACCGGTGCGGATTATATAAAGTCCTGCCGGGGGATGTTCCCCAAACTCACCATTGGAATTCATTGTTGTAGATACTGCGCAAGATGTTTAAGGGATTAGAAGACTTTACCATTTTGGATTGATGTGTGATACTAATTCCAACTCTATTTTTGTTTTTTTTTTGTTGCACGAGGCGCTTGGAATTGTCAATTAAGCGAAGGGCTCTGCCAACTCGTTTTTTGTCAAGCGACTAGCGTTGCCAGACTTTTCGATACGAGCGACCAAAAGTACCAGATCGTCAGTGAGCGAGCGATCAACGTTGCCAGACTTTCGACTGGCCACACTGTTTTTTAATTGTTTTCAGTTTCAGCACGTGCACCGACAAAATATAAAAAATCATAGACAATGGACGGTGAGAACCCAGAATGTAGCATGGAGATTGTGGAGCCCGAAGACGCAGAGAGCGACATGTCCGACAGTGACAGCGATGGAGACTCCGAATCCAAGCAGCCCAAGGAAGTGTACCTGCCCGGCAAAAGTTTGGCCGACGATGAGGAGCTGGTCTGCGATGAGAGTGCATACATTATGCTGCACCAGGCATCTACGGGTGCACCCTGCCTAAGTTTCGACATTATTCCTGACGAACTGGGTCAGTCCCGGCAGTCGTTCCCAATGACTGCCTACATTGTGGCTGGTACGCAAGCAGCCCGCACCCATGTCAACAACCTGATCGTGATGAAGATGGGAAACATGCACAAGACGCAGGATAACGGTGATGAGGACGACGACGAGGAACTGGAGGATGATCAGGATGACGTTGCGGACCGCGAGGAGCTGAAGAAGCCACAGATGACTTGCGCTCTTATCAAGCACCAGGGCTGTGTCAACCGAGTGCGCGCCCGTCGTCTGGGCAACACGGTATTCGCCGCGTCTTGGAGTGAACTTGGTCGAGTTAACATTTGGAACCTGACCCAGCCTCTGCAGGCCGTGGAAGATGCTCAGCTGCTGAAGAAGTATGAGCAATCCGAGACCCATCCAGTCTACTCCTTTAGCGGACATCAGCAGGAAGGCTTTGCCGTAGACTGGAGTCCTTGTGCAGAGGGCGTTCTGGCCACTGGCGACTGTCGACGGGACATACATGTGTGGAGTCCCCTGGAGGACGGCACATGGAAGGTGGATCAGCGGCCATTGGCGGGGCATACACAGTCCGTCGAGGACCTGCAGTGGAGTCCTAATGAGCGCAGTGTTCTCGCTTCGTGTTCGGTGGACAAGACCATCCGCATCTGGGACTGTCGTGCTGCACCACAAAAGGCCTGCATGCTTACTTGTACCGACGCCCACGAGAGCGACATTAACGTGATCTCCTGGAACCGTTCTGAACCGTTCATCGCCAGCGGCGGCGACGATGGATTTCTCCATGTCTGGGACTTGCGCCAGTTTCATAGTCAGAAGCCCATTGCCACCTTTAAGCACCATACTGATCATATTACCACCGTGGAGTGGTGTCCAAGCGAGGCTACAGTGTTGGCCTCGGGCGGTGATGATGATCAAATTGCATTGTGGGATCTTGCCGTCGAAAATGATCCCGACCAGGCGCAAGTACAGGCCCAAAACGAGGACGAACTCAGCCAGTTGCCACCGCAGCTGCTCTTTATCCACCAGGGCCAAAAGGAAATCAAGGAACTGCACTGGCATGCTCAGCTGCCAGGGGTGCTGCTCTCGACAGCCAACAGTGGCTTTAACATTTTCCGTACTATCAGTGTTTAAGGCCATGTTAAAATAAAAGCTTTAATTTGTCAAGATAAATATGGATATGAAATATGTATTTGTTTGAATTCTTTTAGTCAAGTTATAGATATGTCCAATAATTCCTTTTAGGCTGAAAAAAAGAAAGAAAAACGCACATCAACTATGTGAAGTATACAAAACAAGAAAGGAAGCTAACTTCGGCACGCCGAAGTTTGTATACCCTTGCAGATATTATTTCATTACATTTCACCTATACTTATTATGTTTACAGTTTGACAGTTACAGTTTTACATTCACACCTTTACATTTTCTCTACATCTACCGATCGCTCCTATGGCCGCTATATGATATCGTTGTCCGATTTTCATGAAATTTATACCAAAATTCTAGAATAATAAAATAAGCTTATATCTCAGAGTAGATGAAAATACGTTGAAAAACAACGAAGTTATAATTTTTTTTCGATTAATTTCCCGATCGTTTCTATGACAGCTATAAGATATAGTCGTCCGATTTTCATAAAATTTTTACCAAAATTCAGAAATAATATAAAATGGCCATATCTAAAAAATGGTTAAATGTTAAAAAACAGCAAAGTTATAATTTTTTTTCTAAAAATTTATCGAACATTTGTATGGCAGCTATATGATATAGTCGTCCGATCCGGCCCGTTCCGACATATATAGCAGTGAGAGTATATAGAAGACTATATGTAAAGTTTCATTCAGATAGCTTTAAAACTGAGGGACTAGTTTGCGTAGAAACAGACAGACGGACAGACGGACAGACGGACAGACAGACAGACGGACATGGCTATATCGACTCGGCTGTTGATGCTGCGTTGCAAAATTCTGACTGAAATTATAATACCCTGCAAGGGTATAAAAATTAAATGTAGATATTTTATTTTTTTAACCAAAACCAAACAAATAATCTACTTTTTTAATATCAGTTAATTTCGAGCAAGAACTTTAATTAAATATATTTCCTTAATAGTGCTCTTTAACTCTCTATAATGGGGTCTTATTGGAAACAATATCAGTTAACTTACTTAACATTAAATTGTTTGTAGTTCAACTTGGAAACAAGAAAGGAAGCTAACTTCGGCACGCCGAAGTTTGAATACCCTTGCAGATTGGTTTTGATTTTTATATTATAAATTTAAATGCTGAAAACACACACAAAACAGAGTTTCATTACATTTTACCTATACTTATTATGTTTACAGTTTGACAGTTACAGTTTTACAGCTTTACATTTTCTCTACATCTATCGATCGCTTCTATGGCAGCTATATGATATAGTTGTCCGATTTTCATAAAATGTATACCAAAATTTTGAAATAATAAAATAAGCTCATATCGCAGAGTAAATGAAAATACGTTGAAAGTTATAATTTTTTTCCTATTAATTTCCCGACCGTTCCAATGGCAGCTATACGATCTAGCCATCTATATCTGTACGTCTGTCAGTATGTCCGTATATCCCCGTTTCTACGCAAACTTGTCTAGTTCGAACCTATTTGAATGACTACTCTCAATAGTATATCGAGTATACCATATAGCAGCCACAGTATTTGTTCAGCATATATATTTAAAGTAGCAAACTGCAAGGGTATACAAAACTAACATAAACAGGGTCCCGACTTCATGTGAAATTTTGTCCGGCTCTGTTGGATGGTTTTTTAAATAACTATAGCGGGACTTTTTTAAAAGTACTTTGTAGGGCGGAAATATTCAAAACTATAGGACGTATCTTAGTTTAATCTAAGTTTTATAAAGATCCCGTTTCCAGAAACCTTGAAATGTGCCAGACATTGACATATTTCTCGATCAAGATCTAGGCATATTCGGCCGGGACTATAATTTTCTAATAAATGCCTTACGTTATACATTTTATACGTATATGGTTAGTTCTAACCCCATTACATTGAACCGACCCTGGACGCCATGCCCTTAGCGCATTCAGATGACTTTGACATCTCTTATCTTAGAGTTTGATAAACGCGTCGCTTAATCCCACAGTAGAAATGAAGCTGTCGGGGAGACGTATGAAATATAATCCGCCATTTGGCGGCACTGATCTATTCCTCAGCAGTGTTTTGCTTACAAATACCTCCAAAAGGCAAGATCCATCAACATGGAAAAGTCAAAAGACGGTGAAGTGCTTCAGAAACGGTCATTGAGTTTTGTAGAGGCACCGCTAATGGCGCACAAAAACGAAGAGGTAACGGGCTGGGTTGTTTAAGAGAACTGTGCGACCCGTCAACTTCTCACAACTTTCAGGAGGAGCAGCCGCAATGGAGCTGGTCTTTAAAGTGGGCTGCGATTGGATCCTCCCTTGGTGCCGCCGTTCCTGTTGGATACTGCACGGGGGTAATGAATAGTCCCGCCGAGGTGTGTCCAGTTGAAATCTCCGAAGAAAAAATTAATTTCCATATATGTACATTCAGATCATGCGGTCCTGGTGTAACGAGACCCTTATTTCCCGCTACGATCTCTACTTAGGTGAGTCCAGCTTGGAGCTGCTGTGGTCGGCTGCCGTCTCAATCTTTCTTGTGGGTGGGGCAATTGGTTCAATGACGGGCGCCACCATGGCCAACAGGTTTGGGCGTCGAGGCTGCTTCCAAATCTGTGGGATTCTTCTAGCATTGGGAGCCATTTGCTTTTATACGTGTCGGCTGGGTTCTGTGGAGCTGCTGCTGTTGGGTCGACTGCTGGTGGGACTGGCCGGCGGTCTCCTCACCGCCTTCATGCCAATGTGGCACAGTGAGATCGCAGCGCTTTCTCAGAGGAGCACCCTGGCACCACTCTGTCCGATGGGTCTGACGCTTGGTGTGGTGGTGGCACAGATTTGCAGTCTTCGGTCATTGCTTGGCGGTCCCGAGCTGTGGCACATTGGCTTGTCCTTCTACGGTCTCCTCGTGATAGCTTGTTATGCTCCACTCAGATGGTATCACGAAAGCCCCAAGTGGTTGTACATTGTAAAGGGGCGCAAAGAGGAGGCCCGCCACGCACTTCAACAGCTTAGGGGTTATTCGATTGACAGTGCAGCGCTTCAGGCAGAGCTGGACGAAATGGAACTGGAGGCAGCCTCCAAGGTGGCAGCTAGCGGATTCGTGGAGGTGCTGGGGAATCCGCAATTGCGACTACCCCTTATCATCGTGTGCGCCTTTTTGGGCGGTCAGCAGCTGTCGGGCATAAATGCAGTAAGTAAGATAAAACTCCCAAGTTTCCAAGCATAATATTTGAACTCCGTTTATCCCTGCAGATATTCTACTACTCTGTCTCCATTTTCCGCAAGGCGGGTCTGTCACCACAGGCAGCCGAATGGGCGAACTTAGGAGCAGGGTCCCTCAACTTAGCTACCTCGATGTTGGGCCCAGTGTTACTAGAACGGGTCAATAGGCGGCCCTTGATGTTGTTTTCCACCTTTTTTTGCGCCGTTTTTCTATTTTTACTCGCCATGATGCTGTACTTTATTGTGAGTATAAGTGTACGGTCCTAAGTGCTGAGTATAATGCGTTGACCTTTCAGGAGAGCTTCAGCTGGTTTGCCATGGGGTGCATTGGATGTATATTCTTGTACATATTCTTCTTTCAGTTCGGTCTTGGACCAATGCCTTTTTTCATCGGAGCAGGTCCGTATCATTATGTAGTAGATAATATTTAATAATATTACATGAAGGCGTTCCTTCTTCATTTATTTCAAACTTGACCAGAACTATTTGAGCTCGCCCCCCGACCCATCGCGATGTCTATAGGAAGCGTCGTCTACTGGATGTGTAACTTTATCATCGGAATGGCATTCCCCACTCTGCAAAAGGCTTGGGGTGGCTTAGTCTTTCTTCCGTTTTCGCTTGTCTGTTGGCTGCTCTTCGGGCTAACAATACAATATTTGCCGGAAACACGGGGTCGTAACCCGTGCGAGGTGGCTCCGCTCGTCGCTGCCGGTTTTAAGTCAAAGGTGTTGAGTAGCAACCAGATTGTGAGGCAATCCTAAAATGAGTCCAATATATTATCATGCCTTATCTGGAATTGTAATATCAGCGGTTGATTAAATATATCCATCTAGGTCGTTTGTCATTCTACTAAAGCTTTAAGACACGACATTGAGAATATCACTGTCCACGTAGTGACGATGAGAAGCGGACAAGAAGACTTTAAAATCAAATGTTAATCTGTCCGTTCGGATGCAACTTCATATTTATTTATGGCACAAAATTATTGCATAAGGGAAAGGATTTGAATGCTAGAAATTTTAAAAATCAGTTGGTTCAACTAAGCTAGCTTTGCTTTTACCCTATAATGCTTACATATTTTGTAATTATTATTAATTTAAATTAATTTTGCATCGCAAATATTATTTTTCCTTGTTTTACCATTTCTTTTCTGTTTTAAGAAACCAGCAACAATAAGTTCTCATTACGCGACCTTTTTGACTTTTGACCCCTAATGAACTGGCTAATATACTTTCGATTAAAATTAGTATTCATTAGAGCATTATTTAAAGTAAAACATGGATGTATCTTCAATGTTCAAAAAATAATAATAAAATACCAGTCTAAAATAAAAAGTCAATCGCTGTCATACGTTTAAACTTTAAAGTCTTCCTTTTTGTTGTCGTTGAAATAACTCGGAATTTTTCCCAGGTCCTATAATTTGCCATCATGTTGAACAGGTCCTCCAGTTGCAGTTTTTATACATTTTTGTATATTCTATTATTTTATAACCTGAGTTTATTTTGTTTGAGTTTATGTCCGCAGACGCAGCTCGACGCAGCCGATGAAAGTTAAGTCTGGTTCAGGAAAGATCCACGCTTTTGATCGGCTTTAGCTTTTATTGACTTTAGTCAGAAAAAATTAAAAAAAGGATAACTTGCAGGTATCTAGGAATGTATCTATAATTTAAAGTAACAATCATGACCATTGCATATATGTTTTTTGTGTAATATTAGCTGAAAGTAGACCCTTTCACCAATTTGTTTTTGTATGTTAATATCTTCTACATTATTTGGGTTGCAGATTCGAAATCTTGGAAATTTTGATGTTGGATAGGTGTAGCTTAAAACT